CTCCCAGTCCAGAGTTGATGATGTGCATCCTGATTACGAGGAGGAAAAAAAAGAGGAGCATATGGTGGGAGGGATCTAGTGCCAGGACTGAGGCCAAGAGTAAGGGTTTTAGAAGTCGTCTCCACTGATTTGTGGAATGTATTCTTTCTGTACACTGGTCCGGACTTTCAGAATATCCCCGAAATTCCCACCAAGGACTGGAAGACTACAGGGAGTCCTGGGATGAAGTGTGCACAGGGCTTGAGGTTAAGAGTTGAGAAATATATTTCATGGACTGAAGGAATGGAAGAAGGAAGGCGTGAAGTAAGGAGGAAGAAGAGAGAAAAGGGGATTAAAGAAGGAAGAGAGTAGGAAGGGAAGGAAAAAGAAAGGAGGAGAAGGGAGGAGGAAGGAAGGGACAGTGGTAGAAGACATATATACAGACAATCTACTCAATTTTCTGACTTTAGAATAAAAAAGCTTATGATATAATGTATGTTCCCATAGGAAAAAGTTGCACATTCGTTCTGATCAGTGCTTCTGGGTTTGGACATGCAGCACAACACATTAGAGTTCAAGATCAAATGATACTTGCAGTTCACAGAGAACTCTATTTTGCCCAAGTTGCTCTACAGCCAAGCTAAGTCAAAGCAGTGCTGGACAGGAATAGGCTGCAATGTCCTGGCAATTTCTCTTGTACTCCACATACAGCCAAGGTCACCTAGAGGTGAAACTGAACTCTCCATTGGCCTTTTTGCTTTTCTTCCCCCTTGCCCTCCTAGTGCTGATATGACAGATATGGTTTACTGTCTGTGCTTCAGCAGCATTATCACCCAGGATTTTATCTGACCAGGGTCAGGGGAAACAGGAAAGGAGACTGGATACCAGTCTGGGTGTGGCAAGCTCCCCTCCCTGCCTTATCAGGGAGGAAAGAAAGTGAATCCACCTGGTAAGCTTCTGGCTGTGAAGTGAAGTAAGGTGAGCCAAGGTACCAGGGGGTTATGAAGAGGTCACCCTGGATAAGTGCCCAGTGCTTGCAGGACTCAGCTCATCACCTTTTCCACTTTACAAAGATTTATTTCCTGTTGGTTTTCTCTCTACCTTTTTCAATTGCAGAGCATATTTGGTGTGTCAAGAAACTTCTCCTTTCTGAATGAAATCCAATTATGGTAATTCATTCAGAAAACGCTCAGGTCACTGGCAGGGGTTAAACTACACAGGGTGGAAGAGTCACTATCTGCTCTTCCCACCACACTGGCCTTACCCAGAACCTACACAGCATTGCCTCACACACCACTCAGCTCAGCATGTCGGGGACGTCTCTCCTATAAACAGGTAGTCCTATTTATTTCTAAGTTGTTTCTGTTGCCTATTTCCGGAGCCCTGGAGAGGAAGATAACTGGGACTTAATGATAGGAAAAGAAACATAAGATTAAGCTCAAGAGTTGTGCTTATATATTTGGGGGCTCAGGATCAGCTGAGAGGGAGCCCCAAGACTGGCCCTAACAGGAACATAGTAATATTGTTCTGTTATGCTAATTTTTATATAACTGGCCATCTCCAAAAGAATGAATTATAGTACAAACTAGACAAAAATAACAATTCCCTCCTACTAAAAGTCTAGTCTCAAATATTGCAAATACTAAAGAAAAGAGTTTGTTTTCTGAAACTCACAGTGGATTAAAGAGCAAGTGTCAGATGAAAGTAAAAACTCTGCAGCTTGCTCTGGCATGACTGACTTTGGAGTCTAAGTCAATCAATGACAGTGGCAGCAATCATTTACACTCAACTAGAAGAGCTTCTCACACCTAGGTAGGTACCCACTAACGTGGTGGATTCAATGTTGAGATGCAGTGTGTGCTCAGGCCCTTCAGCAAACACTATGTTAACATGCCATACTTTAACTTCTAAGCATCTTTCCCATCATAAGTTACCTGGGTTCCTTTTAATCACCCCCACACAAAAAAATCTTTTCATTTGTTTATTCATTCAGTGAACAAACAAGCACTGAATTGCTATTGTGTATCAAGAACCAAGATAAAGATATAAAAATAGTAAAACAACATTGTCTGTCTAACATCGTTTACAGCCTAGTGGAGGAGACACAGGAAAGTGGGTATGGTACCCCCTGAGGTGCTAGGACAGCAATCTCTGTTAGTACTAAGAGGTGCAGGCTTAAGTGGGGATGGGGTGGGCAACAATCAGACTCAGATTTTAAAAAGCAAGTAAACGTTTGTGAGGGAAACAAGTACTATACCAGAAGTAAGAAACTTGGTTATGTTATATCTGTGTGGGGAAACCATGGTGATGGCAATAAATGCATCTGTAAGGAGGCATGGTCTGCTGGGGAAGATGCCCAGTCTAATAAGGTACAAGTATATAAGAGCAAAGAGTCTTCCCTAGAAGCCAACCCATGATTTGTTGCTATACTATACTGCATTCTTTCTGAAGTTGAACTAGGCAAAGGTCACAGTGAATGTTCCAACCACTTGGGAGTAACAGTTAAACTCTATTTTCTTAAATGACTTGCTGCTCTTAAATCCTGAGTGAGTCTGCCTATCTCACAAAGCACCTGCCTCCTGAGGAGGGCACCTCGAGGGGTAGAAAAGAGATGTGATCAGTCAAATTTGTATTTTAGGAAGGCTACTTTGGCAGCTGTGACTGAATAAGAAACACCTTTGGAAATTAATGAGGCATACCTTTGGTTGTGTCTGGGGAATGTCCTCAGAGAGGCTTAACTGAGGAGGGAAGACCCACTGTGGTGGTTTGAAAGAAAATGGCCCCTATAGGCTCATAGGGAGTAGCCTTGTCAGAGAAAGTATGTCACTAGGGGCTTTGAGGTCTCAGAAGCTCAAGCCAGACCTAAGTGGCTCAGTCTCTTCTTGCTGCCTGCAGATCAAGATGAGGACTCTCAGCTACCTAACATCTCCAGCACCATGTCTGCTTGCATGCCACCATGCTTCTTTCAGTAATGATAATAATGGACTGAACTTCTGAACTGTAAGCCAGTCCCAATTAAATGTTTTCCTTTATAAGAGTTGCTCTAGTCACGGTGTCTCTTCACAGCAATAGAAACTCTAAGACATCCACCCTGAACATAGGTTTCAACATTCCATAGGCTGAGGTCTTGGACTAATTAAAAAGGGACAAAGGGAGATGTGTATACTAACTTCTTGCTGCTTCCTAACTGCAAGCAGTGACCACTGGTCTATACTCATACTGTTAGGCCTTCCTAAGGATGATGAATCATGTTCCTTTAAACCTTTAAGTTGCTTCACACCATAGAAATAAAGCACAGAAATCCACTAGTATCTAAACAAGACTCCAAGGTAGAACTGGACAGTCTGTTTCTTCAATGCTGCACTGAGCTTGTCACACCTACCCATTCACAGCTGGAGAGTCCAGTCCATGGCTGAGCTTGTACATCAGACTGAGGTGAAACACACTGGACAGATACAAAGTACTTTCTTTCCAAGAGACACAAACTTCCTGGAGTTGTCAATAATGTTCAATCAGCAGCCTAGCAAAAGGACACCAACTCAATGGACTCCTGGCTCCTTGTGAGGCCTAACTTTACTAAGTTTCCTTTTACAACACACACACACACACACACACACACACACACACACACACACACACACACACAGAGAGAGAGAGAGAGACAGAGAGACAGAGAGACAGAGAGACAGAGAGACAGAGAGAGACAGAGAGAGAGACTCTGCTATGTTAGTTCAAGAGGCACCAGGGAGACAAGAGTTGTTGCATGTGTGTCTGAACTAAAGCTTCAAAAAGCCTTTGCTAGGAATTGAACCCAGGCTCTCACTCAAGCACTCTACCGCTGAGCTATATTCCTAGCCTTGGAACTTCTTTTCAAACAGGAAAACCTCACTGTTCCTTATACACATGGTGATGAGATGAGGCTGAGATGCAGACTTAGATCATTCTGATGCTATGAATAGAGGAATTTCACCCAGTAATAAAATCCATTTTGGATTATTATTCTTTGTTTATTAGACCAACAGGAGCTTTCATTCTAGCCAGCCTGTCAAAAGCACAGAGTGAAACTAAACAGTTTGTTTAGTCTAACAATGGATGTTCTCAGCCAAAACAAGGAGGGGCCCAATTTTTAGCTTTTATAAAATATGACTTTACCACAGGATGATATAACATAATTAGAGGGAAAGGAGGCAATGACAGTTGTAACTGAGTAGTACAGTTCCTTTCTTGTTCTGTGTGACAAAGCACAAGGCAAACTCAGTCTCAGGCAGTGACAAGGTGTCAGGAGTGACTCTGGTAATGAACTACACAAAGTGTTCTCTTAATCAGTGGTATCTACAGCACCATTATTGGATTTGTTGACTAACTGAGGAGGCAAGCTACATGTTCACTCTAAAATATGATTTTTATGGACAAGAGAAAGGAAAGTTTATTGGAGACTCATTCACTCTACACCTTACAGGCCCTTGCCTCCTCTCCATGTGAAAGGCTTCCAGAAATTTGTTCGGCTCAGGTCTCCACTGACCACTTAGAGTCTGGCAGCATCTCACATCTCTCTAGGGTAATAACAACGTTTGTCAAGCATGTAGATGCTATTTGATTTCCAACTTCAATAATCTCAGGTGCCTTTACTTCAGGAATGGATTCATAGAACAGGCAAGTAGAGTCATTTTTCTTAGCAGTTTTCACACACTATATTCATACAGGCGTGGGCGGTTAAAACTCATCTTTATTTTCTGATTAGTGCTGCTCAGTTAATCCTCAACCCTTTTACAGTCAGCACTAACAGATATAATCTTCTTTCTGAAAGTACAATTGGCCCTGGACATATCCTGATTTCACCTGTTCAGGTCTCTGGGTATTCAATAAAGCAAGTTCAGCCGCTGTGCCAAGAGGCCACACAGAGTTCAAGGTAACACCTCACAGCCATCAGTAGGTTAATTATAATTTCATTTTCAAACACACCGACAGCATGCTTGTTTCAACTCCAAATGACCTTACCTGCTTTTTTTTCGGGGGGGGGGGGGGGGTCCTACAAGGAGTAAATTTCTGTCAGCAAATTGAAAGGCCACTCAGAGTTCACAGTAGCAATTCATATTTTTAACTGGTTGCCCAGACCTAAATCTTCACCTCCACAAATTCCAGAGAGACCTTAGTAGCTGTGAAAGAAGGAACAGTGATGAAGTCGGAAGGGGTGGGGACAGGAGGGTGACAAGGTAAGAAGACAGCAGCTGAGTTCTGCATCTTCAAGGGGCTCAGTGCCAACAGCTCAAGAGGAAGGGCCCGCACTTTGGGGGTGGAGTCATATAGAAGCTTCTAGATACTTGAAACATCACTCCCAGAAACGAAACTGGCTTAGAAGAAGCCTCATGCTACATTCTGAAGTCATCTGAACATAGAGGCTTGACTCTGCATGAAGGAAAGCAAGTACAAAGTTCACTTCTGCTTTCTGCAGAGGGTCAGAAGAGGAAGTCACAGATGAACAGCTGCTGATTATAGCCCTGGCTGGTCTTGAACACCTGATCCTTCAGTCTGAAGTCTCCCAAGCTGGGATTTACTAAGGTGAGCCGCCACAGCCAGTCCTTGCATGCACATCTTATTCTCTGTTTCAGAGCTTAATTTTTATATTTATTTATTTATTTATTTATTTATTTTTAGTTCCTCCTCCATATGCTGTAGGCAATTCAGATGCTCATAATGGTGTGAAGTGGATTCTTTTATAAGTTGACTTGAGAGACTAAAATTAAGCACAAAGCCCACTAGCATACAGCAGCATGGCTGGAGATCCACACCGATACCATGGTTGGCATGGGGCTTTGCCTCAGGTTGCTTAGAGGTCTTTTTTGGAACTTTGATTCCTCCTTGGCTGGGCTGCAGTCACAGGTTTATAACCCAATCTGTCCTGTCAATCCTGTCTGACAATGCTTCCCATTCCTTTTGAGGATTCTTTTCTTGTAAGACAAGAGTGTAACAAATCTTTCCCTTTTCAAGCTTGCCCGCAATTATTCCAACACTGCTTTTTTCAAAGCAGGAAGGTCATTTCTGGTTATTTCCTCTTAGGTGCCCACACATAATGCCTGATTGTTTTGTTGATGTATAATCCACTGATTTAAAATTTCAGTTGCAGATCCTGCTTTCTTTTCCTTCAAAAGAATTTTATGAAGAAGCCCACACAATAAAACACAGAGCATCAAAGTTGCTGAGACATATTTGGTCTAAATCATGCAGAGACCTCTCAACTCAGCTATTCTCTCTTCCCCACCCTGGATTTCTAGCCCTACTCTACAGAGCTCATGTTTCCATGGAGCATAGCCTCCAAACTAGGTGGGTTCATATGCTTGTTTGGGCAGACAGAAGGTATCTAGATGGGACAAGAATGTCCAAACACAGAACCGTATGGATGACTGTGTCAGAACATTCTACCATTAAGTTATCATCTTGAGTCCAGTGATGCTGCGGTTTGATTGTGGAATGCCCATGACAGGCTCATGTATTTGAATACCGACCCCAGTTGGTGGTGCTTTGAGAAAGATGGAACCTGGCTGGCAGAGCTACTAGGGGTAGCTTTCCCTCTACTTCTCTCCACTGCCCTGTGAAGGGCATCCTTAAGCTTTCACCATGGCTAGAAGTTGAGCTGTGTCATCATCCCCACCACTAAGAACTGAAACTCCCTGAAACTACAAGCCCTTAAGTCCCTCTATCAGGTATTTTCTCACAATGAAAAAAATAATAATAAAAGTGGACAAGGTGCTTGCCTAGCACTAAGAAATCCATGGACTCCATCCTAAGTATTATGTGCATGTGTTGAGTAGAAACTACAAAAGCCAAGCACATAGCACTCAGAATCTCTGGAGGACAGGAGCTTTGTTTATGTTAGTGCCCTACAATACCTAGCTCATACTTAGAGTTCAGTAGACAACTGTCACCTTAAATTCAACAAATACACTATCTGGATAGGGCATAGTATTTGTCCTTTTAAATAGGTATGGATGAAACCTTAAGATTATTTTACAACACTTAGTTTTCTTTTTAGAATTCAGAGAATCAGGCAAAATGGAGGAGATGGAAAAGGACTAGGAAGGTACAAGAGCCTGGAAAGAGAGATGAAGGGAGTAAATCTAGAAAAGACAATGCCAAGGGAGTAGCCAGGTCACACTGTGTGTTACAGGTGTTTACTGCTGTAAGATTCAAGAGATGCCATTCCTTTGGCTGATACTCTGAAAGCTCAGGGCTTTTGTAGTTCCATTTTATCACAATTTTACCAAAACAAAACAACAACAACAAAAACAAAAAACTAAGTCTTTAGCATTATCCATAATCTTTATGTGGATCAAGGCCTAAATTTCCCTAATTATTTCAAGTCTAATCTATCCCCACTCAAGATACACCTAAAAACCCTGGGTTGAATGTCAAATCAAGACAAACAATAAAAAGTTTGATGTTCATTTTAGGAGCCTATTCCTTCCCTATCAACAATCAACCAGATATTTATTACCATCATTTGGGATCCTAAGCATGCAAAATTTGATGGCAGTATTGGAAGGTGAACCTGACTGGAAGAAGTGAGTCACTGGGTCTCTGTTTCTCTCTTCTACTATGGCTTCCCTGCCATTAAGCTCTGCCTCACCACTGGGACACAGTACTCGGATTAAATAATTATGGAATTAAAATAAATTTCTGAAACTGTGAGCCAAAAATAAACATTTCTAATTTTTATGTATTTATACCAGGTATTCTTTTATTACAATGATGAAGGGATAACTAACCTAAGAGTTAGAACTAAGAATACAACAGAGGGATTTAAGAGTAGAATTGATATGGTTGAAAAGAGGATTAGTCAACTGGAAAGCTCAAGTGAACAAAATATCTAAACTGAGGCAAATACCTAAATTGAAGTAGAAAGGCAGAATACATAGGATACAGAGATCAAAGCCAGTATAAACATGCATACTTTGAATCCCAAGAAGGATTCCAAGACATTTTAAAGGAAAAATAACTACTTTTTTTCTTAACAGATGTAAGAGGAATTTTAAAGTTCATTTGGAAAACACACACATGGAGCTGTGGGATAAATTTATAATAGGGCATATTAGAGTAAAAATTACAAAAAATTAAAGACATTATTTTTTAAAAAATGTTTTCAAAGAAACAGCAGTAAAATTGACATCATCAATGAAAATGGTTGAGTGATGGACATTAGAAGCTAATGGAGCTACATCTCTGAAATGTTCAAGGAAAATAATTGGCAATTTAGAATTCAATACTTGTGATGGTTAATACTGACTGTCAAACCCTGAAGACAAGTCTCTGGCCACGTCTATAAGGGAATTTCTAGATTAGACTATATGAGGTGAGAGGACCCATCTTAAATATAAGCAGCTAGGACTTGAGACCGAATGAAAAAAGAAAGCAAGTTGAATACCAGTATTCATCTCTCTCTCTTTCTCTGCTCCCTGAGGACAGTTGCAATGTGAACACCTCCTTAAGCCCCTGCTGCTGTGCCTTCCCAACCATGATGGACTGTTTAACTGCAAGCCAAAAGAAGCTCTTCAAGTGTTTGTATCATACATTTTGTCACAGCAACAAGACAAGTAACTAATACAATACTTAAGGGAAATGTCATTTCTTTCATCTTTCAGTCACAAGGCCATAAAATGGCATTTTAAAGCAAACAAAAATTGAGACAATTTAACAGCAGCAGCCTATACTAAAAGGAATATTTAAAAAAATGTGAAAAGCAGTAAAGGAGACTAAGTAAGTTAGTAAATATTACCTATATTTTTAAAAATAACACTAGTGTTTCATAACAGTTCTAAATGTACAACTCCTAGAAGACAAACTAGGAGAGACTCTAGATGCACCAGGACTTGGCAATGACATTTTAGATACAAATTAAAGACATGATCCATGAAAGAAAGAGTTTACAAGCAAGATTTCATTGAAACTAAAAATCTGTGTTAGGTCAAATATACTCAGAAGAATGAAAAACCAAGTGCTAAATTTGGAGAAAATATTTATTAAAGTCACATATGATAAAGGACTGTTATCCAAAATATACAAGGAATGCTTGAAACTGAACAACAAAAAACAACCCAATTGAAAAATGGGAGGGACCCTAATAGAAACCTCACCGAAAAGGGGACTATATGTCAAATAAGCACATGGCATGACATCAAGAAGATACAAGTTAAAACAAGAACACACGCTCACACACCTGGAACCACAGGAATCTCATTTACTGGTGGTAAGAAGGCAAAACAGTATAACTGCTTGGGAAAAAGATAGTTTCCTACAAAACTAAACTTCACTATGTGATGTGGCAATTGTGCTCACTGGTGTTCACTCAGAAAAGCTGAAAATTTAAGCTGGTGACAGTGATTCATGCCTAAAATCCCAACACTTGGAAGGCTGAGGCAGAAGGTGTTCCTTAAGTTCAAAGGCAGATTGTTCTACATAGAAAAGCCTGCCTTAAAAAATAAACAAGCAATAAAGAAATAAAGAAAAAACCTATATCCACACAAACCTGCATGTGGATATTTACAGCTGCTCTATTCATAACAGCTAAAACTTGGAAGGAGCAAAGATGCTCTTCTGCAGATGAATGAGTAAATGTGGTACATTCAGATAAAGAAACAGTATTTGGCTCATTAAAGAGAAATGAGCCATTAAGCCAAGAAAAGACATGAGAGAAATTAAAATGCATATTGTTAGATGAAAAAGGCCAATCTAAAAAGACTACATACTGTATGACTGGATCTACAGGACATTGGGAAATACACAGACAAGAAAAAGATCCATGGTTTCTATGGTAGGCAGTGATGGTGAATTGGTGCCACTGGGACTTCTGGGGCAATGCAAATAGCATGCATTATAGAATAATGGGACTGACTATATGCTTGGCCCAACCATCAGAGTGCAACTTCACAAGTGCTGCCAATGTGTTTTCAGTGATGAGAGTGGGGGCACAGCTTTATCGTTTGCAAGGAGAGCCCCACTCTGGTGGGGATGAAGACAAAAGGGAAGGAAAGCCTATGTCTTTAGGAAGCAGGAGATAAATGGGGCATCTATCTTCTTTTCAGTTTTTCTGTGAATCTTAAACTGCTCTAAACGGGTAATACATGTTTTTAAGGATGATGACTTTACAAAACCCCCAAATGGAAATTAACCCTGCTAAATGCCAAAGAATAAAGAATGGAAATCAGAAAATGTGTTAAGCTGAATGCTATGGAAAATGTGACCTATGAAACTATGGTAGTACCTCAAGAAACTCCTGGCCCCAAATGCAGATGTAGAAAAGAAGAAAGGTGATGGAGCCAGACATCCTCCTCACAGGGTTAAAGACATAATTCTGCTGCTGCTGTTAACCAAACAGATCAGAGGCATCAACAAATCCAAAAAACAGGCCTTGGAAGAAACAAACATCAACAACAGGTTAAAAAAGCAAAAATACCCAAGGCTAGGTTGAGAAAACATATAACTACAGATCCTAAAAATACACCAGGAAGAAATGAGTGAGTTTACACCAAAGGATTAGGAAACATCGGTAAAAGAGACAAATTCTT